ATTTTTCCTATAGAAGCTTGTTAATAACACTATTTGGGTAGATATAGAGTATCCTGCTACCTCTCTTCTGAAACTCCCGCTTCATCTCCCTTTCGTCAACCTAATTAGCCGATCAGGTTTTCCATCCACCTCATTGAATGTGTGCCGATCTCTTCTCGTCTTATTTGGCAGGTGTTCGCAAATCACTTCACCACCAGCTCGCTTATGAGTTCTCCTGGTTTCCCACCTTCTAGAACCTAATTTTTAATGGCTTTTAGCATGAACTTATAACAATAGTAATAACTAATTCATCACAAATCCCATTGGGTTTAGTAATCATTTTGGCCTAGACTTTTCTTCTCATTTCTCAAGATATACTCTTTAATAGGCATTTTATGCCAGACCTAAACTATTGTAGAGGACTGAGAACAGTGTGGAAATTTAAACAAGCCTTAGGCGGGGTTGAATGAAGGGAAGGTCTTGAATCAACTTTATTTAATAGGGCTCGGTTGAAATACGGTTGATTTGATGATGTTATTGCTGTTTCTATCGTGAGCAGTTAGATTCGAAATTTTCACTGTGCAGAGGGATATTTTGGTTAATTTCTGCCTAACTTTTCTCTTTAATCAACCTTGAAATGATTATCTCACCGATGTCGAGGCAACTTCCAGTTATTCATCACTTAGCTTTCATATTTTATTCGTATGCTTCCATGGATCAGACCTGCATTTAAATAACGATTTTTCTGACTTTTTTTAGGATGTTCAAAATACCGCAAATAGGACTGTTTCTACTTCACGAGGGTGTTTAGAACCGTGCATTCGAAAGGTATTCAAGCATCTCAGTTCAACACACCTTTCTTTTTCTTCAGATGAAGAATCTGTAAGTTGTGATTTTCTTTAAAACGACCTAATTTATTGAAGTTATCCTATGTGGAAGTGCTTTAATTTCAGAAAAACGACGGAGATGATACTGTTCTGGCATCATCAGATCCCTACGTCTCATATCTTCAAGATAGTATCGATGGCCATGGCTCTGGCACTTCGACAACTCTCGACAAGTCTGAAACATCTAGTACAAAACCTCCATCTCAGGACGTCTTTATTCCATTTCCTCGAACATCAGGCGTCAGCATTTCGCCCTCTGGATTCATGGTCACTTTTGGTCTTCATCAGCCACTTGTCAAGATTGTCGCAGCCTCCGCACCTGTAAATAACGAATCTTCGTCTAAACCCAATGGTAATACCTTTTCATTTCAACATCTCCCTAATCTACTTACTCGTACTGTGTTTAAAATTGGTCTCACTTTTGCTTCATTGCACCAATAAGTAGTCAAAAAGTCGGTGCAAATTCTGTGACGTGTATGTCCAGCCACGCTGGCTAATTCTGGTAAACAAATTATCTTAGTAGAATATGACTTACCCTAACAAGTGGTGCCTCCTGAATCAAGTTTTACTTGTACTTTCTTTAGTAGTCTTACATCGTTTTTAATCAAATACATTGTGTAGTATGCTAATTATGGAGCGAACCTCCATCCGAAATGTTTTGGTCGGGTGGCTTCTCTAACCCCCGACGTCCTTTGATAATCTGCTATGCGATAAAATTATTCAATATTTTAGAATGCAGTGCGAGTATGTGGAGGGGGGGGGGGTGGGGATGGAGGGGTGTATTCTCCATATCCTGCACATATGGTATACTTGGCCTTCATTTGAGTAACTAATAGTTGCATTCAGGAATTTCTTCGCTTCCTATGATCATATTGCTTATTTTGGCTTCTATGCCCTTTCCATTTTATAGCCTCTATGATTCATTGTTTTTCTTCCCATTTAGAAAGCACTCGAACTCCTCGTTCCTATCATGATTACCGTCAATTAGTTGAGGGCAAAGAACATCTTTTCATCAAGGCTACAGACTCTCCATTGGGCTCTAGTCGACAACAACAGCTACATACGCAATTTTACCATACTCCTACCGGTAATTCCCATCCCCCTGGAATATTAAAGCGCTCTCGCAGTGCTGAAGACATCTGCATTGATTCCTCTCGTGTACACTCTTCCACGAATCCATCAGATGCTTCTTTCAGAGGCTCTGACTCTCCAAAGGAAGTTCTGCGTAGTCGACACTTCTCGGGAAGGAATCCAGAGACCGGCGCTAGGAAGGTGCTTTTGGGGATATTGTGCATGTGTATTGTCTATATTGCAGTTAATGTAGAACTGATTAGTTGTCAGTCTTCAATTGGGATTTGGTTATCCCATATATATTTGCCACTTTCATAGGCTTGGTGTCCCATTAGTATCTGCAAATAAGAAAGCAGGAAGTTATAGCGATCGATAAACTCACTGTGAGGGTAGTTTAGCCGTCTTGTTTATTTAGCTCATACTTGTCCGAAATAAATTTTAGGACACGAGGAGTATAATATCCCAGTGTCGACTTTGTAACAGTGGGAATCCAATTTGGACTGACTTAAGGACACTAAGATAATTTTAGGCCTCTAGGAATCCAAGTGAGATATAATTTGTGCCCTCCCTGGGTCAATTTGGGTGGCGTAAATTACTGTAGGGTTTGGGTGCACCCGGTTTTGAAAATTCTCCTAGGCTGCACTATTTTTTCAATAACCGATACGCTCAAAAGTGGCTTAAAATCGCCGACGATAGTGTTCAATAGGCGGTTACCCATACATCTTTTTTATTAGGCCCTCTGATTTTTAGTCCCTTTTTAGGTTTCTTTTACCCTGGGTAATGAATCTGCTGTTTACAACTGCGTCTGGTGGGTGTTTCAGTTTTTAATTAATAATGCTTTTAAAAAACTGTCATCTCACAGAGTAGCTTTTGCTAAAAGTGCAATAAAACGCTCTCTTTTCGGTAAAATTGCCCGATAAATATTCATGTTCATTGACTCATATTCGGCTCTTTGGTCGCTCTAGGTTCATTGTGTTTATAAATTGTTTTTCACAATTGTGTCTCATCGCTTAATTTTGCTCCCCGTGAAGATAGAAAACAATGCTTCCATATCCATAGGTGGTCTGGCTATAATTATGGGAAGTTGGCGGAATTCAAGTTTCTCTCGGGCAAGAGTCTCTGATAATTCTCCTATTTCCATTTTGAGTGCTACAAAAGCTTGTCTAATTTGGATATGAGCCCCTCCAATTATTAATTCTTTTCCTCGCTCTTCAGTCATCCATCACACCGTCAGGACGGAAGATAACCGCAGCCCTTGCTGCTGAACAGCAAAAACAACAGCAGCAACAGCACCGCAGATCCTCTTACGTAACACGATTCACAAACCTCCCTTTGTCAACTCGGAAGAGCTCTTGTGATCGCACATTTTCTACTGGTAACTTTCTTTTCTCTAATGCCGATGAGTGATGAGTGAGGGAAACCCATTTGCGGTAGCAGATAGCTTAAATGTCTTTAGCCTAAAGATGTTGCCTTTTTCTTGGTTGTTTGCTTGGTTTTTGGGCTTTTTCTAAATTCCCTCATTTCACATCCCGCGACTAATTGCGATTACTCATTCTTTGCTAGTACGCAACTAATTGCTCATGACTGCACATTTTTAAATGAAGGATTGATCAATTTAACTTACCAAGGCAATGTATGCAAATGTACTATAGTGTATGATCATATTATGCCACGTCAACTATCATGTGGACAAACTTTCGATTAGGCTAAAGCGAACAGTCATGGTGATTTGGAATAGTAAGAATTTGTGCTATTTAAGGTGGATGAATGTGTAATTTTTCCATTTGACAATGGCTTCCAGCAATCCTAATCGTTAACAAAAAGACTGTCAAATCTTGATAGATGACGAATTCCCGTTTTGTCAGTATGATGAAGATGCAACCAATCTATGATACGCAAACGTTTGAAAATTATCGATCTTCCGACAGGTGGTTATGAGTAGGCAAGCTCCCTTTCCAGAGCATATAATTTATAAGAGCAATTGCTGATTAAGTTGATATGAGAACTTGGAGAATATGAGTTTGAATGCGCATGGTAGATGTATAAGCCAAACGAACATGCGGGTAGTGTCTAGTGCCCTTTGTGATCTTAATGAGTACTTAAAATTATGTGCTAGAATAGAGCAAACTGGAATTAACATGCTTCTCCGCGCTCCTTTACATATTGGTCACATCGCCAACTGTCTTTCTAATCCATGATTTTAAATTGTTTTTATGCTTTTTTCAGCTGCCTTGGGGAGGGTGATTTTTATATTAATTCTTGTCTCTTAGGCTCTCCACTTGCCACAATTAGTGATCTTTCCGCTCTCATTCCCATCTCGAAGCACTTGGCGGAGAATTACTCGTAAGTCGTGGAGTTCTAACTCTTATAATGGCCATGCACCTATCTCCTAATGCCTTAACAACATGCCAATTAGCTCAACTGTTTATTACACCACTTCAAAATGCTCTATTTTATTGTATTTAGACTTGATATCACCGATCCACGGCGCATGTGCTCCCAAAATTTACTAGTCGCCCTTTCAGCCGGACGAACGGATCTAATTCAGGTGTGTTTTGTGATTGAATGCGTTGATGTGCTCTGGGGTTCACTTCACTGCTCTTTCTTAGCTTCGCTTAGCTATCACTTTCGTCTTCTAGGTGATCGATATCGGCAGTTCCCGATGTGGAATTTGTGCATCAAGATTTAAGCTTACTTTTTTTGATATGTGCTCAAATCTTCCTATTTCATAATCTGGGGTTAATATGGAACCAGATGGCAAATATTAGCTAATTTGATTCGATATGTATTAAACTTTAAATCTAACTCATTTCACTGGTCCGTACTATCTCAGCAAACTTACAGTAGTGCAACTATTCAGCCTTCGAATATGTTAGAACTAGCTTATGAAACTTATCATTACATAGATTCGAGATTAAAATGCTTCTTTGCGGGAAACTATTATCCTGTAAGATATTACATTTTAATTTTGCCATCGAGGAATTATTTCGAAGTAGTTCACCAGTCTGGACTTGCTTGTTTATGAGTGATTTGGGAAATTTCGATGTATTCTGACGGTTAATAATTTTAACTTTGCGTCTTTGTGATTTTTTCTTTTCTTGTTAATTGTTAAAACAATATGTGCTATCTTCTCTAATCTTTTTTTTTCCTGAATCAATAGTTCTGGAGCTTCGTGACAACGCTCTCAGGAGCCAGTTTGCGACAGGCCCCTTTCCCAGGTCTCATTCCACCTTACGCGAGTCAGTCCATCGGCCAATCCTTCTTCAAAACTTGGTACGCTGCCATTCATATGAAATAAGGCGAAAACATGCAGTAGGAGTATTGAGAATACAGCATCAGGTGGAGAACAGTTAACAGATTGATCAGATTTATTCACCCGCGTCTAGATCCATTATCGTGGCATCACAAAAAACAATCTTGTAATTAGACTTGAGACCATTGTTTTGCTCCTTTTAGGCTCTCACATTTCCTGCATCTTGGTGATGTACAGAGCTTGATAATGTTTGGGTTCGTGATGGCCGCACTTGATGCGCAGTCTAGTCCACCAGCACTCCTACTCACGGCTCCCTTTCTACCCGCAACTGTTTCTGCTCTAGCTAGGCAGCAACAGCTCCAACGAATTCACGGTTTATTTCCATCTATGGATTCCTCACAAAGAAGTCCTTTTCGAAGAAATGGAAGCAATGTGCAACAAGCGGCTGCTTCCGTAAGAAGAACAAAATCGACAATGGCACCACCGAATATCGCTTTGCTGGATATCCCGGAGATGCATCCCCTGTTGGCTGTTGAAGATGTTAGTCCTTTGGATGCTCAATCTCTGCTTTATAAATTGCATTACCGTTGATGGTGTTTCAAACCCTGTGGTGCGGCCTCGGTTATATAACTGTTTTTGTCTCACCAATCTAATTCAGCTAGACAACTGGGGATAGTCATTTCTACTAAATTCGTTGTGTTTCAAGTGAAGTTTGCATTGTGGTCACAATTCTTCTTCAACTCAACCAGAAGAGTTTGTTAACAGCAAACTTAATAGCGTCTTAGAATTCAGCAAAGAAGACTGTTTATCTGGACTGATAGTTAATTTCGATGCAGAAGCCTCTTCTGCCAGAAGGAGGTACCGATAAAATCGGAAATAAAATTTACTCGACTTCAGGGTGTTAATCTATTAAGGCAAAGCATAAAAAATTTTCCGTGTTTGGCTGTTTTATCATGTCGGAAGAACCAATAAAGTCAAATCTGATTTCCCAAGCTGTGAAACCCAATTCTAATGAGATTTTGAGGATTTTGATAACATTTTTTCCTTAATGTAGGCAGCTGTACATGCTCCCTTGTTTACCGCGGAAGCGAGTGGTTGATTTTTGAATAAATCGCGGGGATATTGGTTTTCGTTCTAATTCTGTCATGCTTACATTTTAGCACTCCCAAACCACCCTCTCATTGAAAAGGTCAGGAGTTAAACGCAAACCGCTCGAGTCAACTCAAAGTCAACAATTGCTTAACACTAGAGGTATGCTTATTTGCTAAAAGCTATTTTTACTATTACCCCCCATGAATAACACAAAACTCTCCTAATTTATTGGGAGTGATTGAGGGTCAATTAATAGTGAATGACGCCAATTTCAGAAATTAATAACAGTTGTGCTATCAGTGGTACCCAAGAGCAGCTTTGCTTCATTTGATTTTTGGCCTTGCATTGTGCAATACTTACTAGATGAAGAGTTTATGTCTCAAAATTCTAATTTCGCTATACGTCTCCTGGGTTGCCATGGTTGCTCGTCTGTGATGTCCAGTGCCCATCGATCGGTTCTGCTATTAGATTTTTTTCAAGTGGTCGAGAAAGCTAGCGGTCCTATACGATAGCTCGTTGCTTAGGCCCTTAGCATAGCATAGATGAGATAGGTTACTCCACAACTTTCTTTTAATGTGGTTGCTTAATAGACTCTTTACTTCTCAAGTTGAAAGGAACCCCCTAGAGCAAAAAACAGCTGAATTGGTTCTCAATGTGCCTTCTATTTCAAGAGCTCGGTCCAACAGTTACACAATTCACACATCTACATCATCTGAAAGTGAAAGTATAACTCCTGAGGTCTCAGAGTACTCACAACGTTCTCCCATGTCTACGATCTCGTCGTCTGGACTCGAACACAAAGAATCGACAATGACACTCGCTCCTGACAATCAGAATACTACATCCTCTTCAACTCGTAGTCATGAGAGCTCTGGTGGCGAAAGCACTGCGGTTTCACAATTTTTTCAGTACTTTAAGGAGCAGGTGTTGATGGACAGAAATGGATCGACTATGGAGAATGTAAAATCAGATTCGCCCTATACTTCTCATGTATGGTAAGTTGCCTGGCATGGAACGAGTTCTGTGACTCTATCATCCTTGGATGTGTTTTTTGCTATAATTGAAGATTCGTTGTTAGTACGAAGATTTAATGCCCTAATATATCTACAGCATTATAGGTTCTAGCCTAGAGGCACTAATACAACTTGAAGGAAATCGATTAAGCTTTGGTTTTTGTCACTTACATGATAGAGGCTCTAAGCAATAAGAGTGGAATCTCTTTTATTAATGGAAGAATCGAAGGGTGGTAATGGCCTGTAGCTAGTGAGTGGGCTAAGTAAAGGAGTAGAGCTTAATTAAGAGGCGTTAGTTAGTGGGCAATAGTTGTTAGATAGCTTAAAGGCCTAAGGTTGGGATGGAGTGTAAGCGAGAGTTGATAAATGAAAGAAAACGCCAATTTCAGTTGGCAAGGAACAAACTCACTAAAAAACGTTTAATCAACTTTTTATGGAATCTTTTTCTCTCACTATCAGCATTGGGTGAGTAAAAGGGGCTTGAGACTTAGGGATACCCAGAGTGAGACGAGTGAAGCATGTTTTAAGTGTTATATCAACTCAATTATAGGTTTCTTTCTTCCAAACATATGCTGCAATACACCCACTTCTTAAAAGTCTACCTGGATTTGCTCACTGCCTGGGATTTGATTATCCCACGTGCCAAAATCTCTTCACAATGGTACAAGGTCCTTACTTGGATGTACGCCCGTTCTTCGGCCGAATATTATCACCTTTCCCTCTATGAGCCTATCGACCGGCAATGCCAAGTCCTCCTGAGTCCAAGCGAATGGCACCGACAGCATATACCCGTCGTGCTCACCCATCTACTTAGCTTCTCCAACGTCCATAGTGAGGTTATCCGACCAACAAATATATCCGGTTTGTATGCAGACAAAAAAACTGGGATTCGGACACCTCTTCTTCGTTGTGCGGTTTGTAACGTAGCTGCACGGGGAGTGATTGTGGCCTGCCCTCACTGTCTCCACGGTGGACACATGGAGCACATGTCGGCTTGGAGACTTCGCTGTGGAAGGGTTGGTGGCGGTGAGGTGGTCTGTCCCATCCCAGATTGTGAATGCAGGTGTACCTACCTAAATGTCAAATCGTTGGATCCCTTGGGGACTGAAGTTCAGGGAACTCCTTTAAAATCAGCTACTCCTATGCCTACTTAATGCACTCTCTTCCTGATTACGATTTTTGTATGCTCTTGGTAATGACTTCGTTATTTGTTTTCCCTAGATGAAAAATGCAAATTCTTTTTCCACGGCATATTTTTTTGGCCTTTTTGTGTCACTTATATACAAGCAGTTAAATGGCTATGAGTGCTGTTCATTCATGTGTACTTCCTACTATCTTAGTGAACGAATTAAACGAAAAAGAAGGGTGCATTCGCAATCAAATTTTAATTTGCTTTTAACTAATTGATATCTAATCAGCATTTGTAGCTATTTTGTCTCTCTGATGTTCCTAGCGTAGCAGCGTGCCAGTGGTCTCCATACCAGCTCCATTTCGATCTTTGGAATTTTTTGCCAATTTATGGTTCATTAGAAAAGTTATGGTCTTAGTGTCGTAGTACTTCATCGTCGTCTTGCAATTTGTAATCGAAATCCCAGCCCCAGACATACCTTTGATTGACAAAAATTGTATCGTACTCTATGTGGCACTATTTTAGGTTAGCACATGGTCTACTTGGACTGCAAATATTGAAACGATTGAAGTTGGCCTAATAATCCAAACCAACAATGAGAAAATTGGTTGAAAAGAGTTCAAATATGTAAATAGAATAGTAACAAACTGTGTTATAGAAATGTAAAAATAGTGAACAGTTAGCCAATCGAAATGAGTTGAGCTGTGGAATATTTGGCTCAAATTGCAGGCGTTTTGGTTGTTATCATTAGTCCTTAAGCTGACTTTGGACTTCACAGAGCGGAAGGAGCATCAAAGTTAAAAAGTCGAAATGGGGGGGGGCAGAAGGGTGTTTCAAAGATGTAAAAGACAGACAAAGGTAGAAAAAATTTGATGAGAGTATGGCAGTTTGAAATTAGAAGTCAACTGCCGGTTAATGGATTTTTTCCGTATGGGTATACGTTGCCTGGGGTGCACCACATGGAGATAAGTCTATCGCGCACCCCGATCTGTGGAATATAAGAACACAAACACAGGATTTCGTAATCTGGCGTAAAAAGTCTCAATTCATTGAATGAACTTCAACTCCCAATAATTACTCATCACATCGGCGTTTTTCAAGCAAAAGATTCTCTCCGGCTTTCCTCACCTTACACTGCAATTTCTGTTGCAATAAGTAGGTCTTAAACTCAGCCTTCAACTCAGCAGTGTCACCATTCTTTAATAATCTCCTTTGTAATAACATTTTAACACAATTTGGTTGGTGTCATTTTTTCTACCCAACTCCCTTAATTCGCCAATATTCTGCTTTGAAGAACGCGTTCAAGATGGTTATTATCAATTCCGAATGACGGATATTTCTAATGGTAGTGTCAATGATTTTTCGGCTGCTCCGGTTAAAATATTAGTAAAAGCTCTCTAATACAAATTTTAATTTCCACCTGTGAAAAAGATCGTGAAACAGAATTTTACAATAAAATCTTTAATTTGTTTATTCAATTTTAGATTTTTTGTTCGAATCGCTCAAATGCATCCAATCGATTGAATAGAAAGTGCGCAGCGGAAAGCATTCCCATTTTTTAACACTTAAATTGGGGGGCGCATAAATTCATAACTCGTGAAGATTGGCGTGCAAAGTAGGAACATGTTGTTAGCACTCTTTTGCTTTGAGTTCATTTTGAACTTTAGTTATCTGGCTATTTCTATCCGCGACTTATCAGAATTCTCTTTACTTGGATTGCCCGTGGAACGACTTATAATCTTCTGGGAAAAATTATCACTCGCTTTAAAAAATTCTCCAATCTTGTGAGTTCGTTAAAAGACTTACTCCACTTATTAGTTTTTGCAACTGTTTTTCGTTCCATTGCAAAATACACATGCCATGTGGTTTCATTCGTAGCGGGGGAACCTAATCGATTAGCTCGTAACTTGGTTGCGGCAGAAAGAGCATTGTCTTTTGGTGGAACTTTATGGAGCGTGAGAGGATTCTCGCTATGGCCATTGTTGCAATGTGTTTGCATTCGCTAATCTTTGACCTGAATTATCAGTGCGTCCGCTGTTATGTTTTACTTACAGTCCTTAATCTTATCTCTTGTGGAAAAGAAATTGGCAAAACAATGCAAGACACCTCAGGTGCACGGTACTTGTGTTTACTTATAACTATATAGTTGATCATTTGAACGAGTAGTCCTGCCCTTCCTTTAACCTTTTACTCACTTGTAATTGATTAAAGTGGTTGTTTACTAACTAGTATATTTCCTGATGGAAGAGAATAGAGTTAAATCCGATTGGTTAGACTACATTCGATTATTTTTCGCCCACCTTAAATGCCAAGGTAATTGCTTAGGCCTTTTAGGTGTCAAAAGATAATAGGCCAATGACTCTTTAATAAAGTAAATTTTGAATCCATGAGGCAGAACTCCGTCTGTTTTGTCCCATTTTAAATACAATTAATGTTATCACTTAGCAATTTTAGCCAATAAAATTCAAAGGGAAGGCAATTTTGAAAAGAAGGAAATTACAGAAAGTATGACAATGGAGAGGGGTGAAAGATGTGGAGCAGTTGATGGGAGTTTCAGAAATGTTGAAGCAGACGAAGTCGGTAGTGACGAAATGGATGAAAGTAAAGAAGTCAGTAAAAGCGAGGGAAGTTTTGTTGTGATTGGGAGTGACAAAAATGCCGAAAAAGCTGACAATGAAAAAGATGATAAAATGAATGGAAGTACTTCACGCCAAAGAATTGATGAAGAAGGCAAGTGATAATTAAACACTTGTGATTCCACATCCCTGTCTAATTATGAATGTATTCCACGGTAATTTTTAACGCGCTCTCTGAGAATTCAACTATTTTAATTCAGCTGTTTGTATGACATCACCGTCCATTCATATAAGCATAACAGAACCGCGAAGTTAATTATGCAACATTGATGCCTGAACTGCATTTTCTATTGTGATTTTACTCCGACTTGGCTTAGTATCGTTTCCGCAGGATAGGGCTGAACTAATAAATTTATGATTTCATTTCAGGAGGAAATTCAGAATTGTTTGATGTGCGGAGTGGTAAGTAATATTATTTATGTTTGATATGCTTACGTCATTAAAAAAACTAGTGGTGATTGACGTATGTTAAATATGGTTGATTTTAATCATAAAGTTTTTTCTGAGCGTCAACGAAAAGAATTAAATTTTACATTTTATACTGTGCCATTTGAAAATCAACTGCCAGATTAACATACGAAAAAATAGCAATTGGAAATTTCTTGTGAGAAATAGTAACGATTTTCTTAAAGTTCTCCAAATTGCCTACACAAATTCAATTTCAGATGAAGAAAAAAGACTGCGCAAGCTGCAAAGACTAACTCGCTATTGGAATACGTCTGCACATAACGAAGAGCAACGTAAGTTTACACTCTAAATTAACTCTATACTACCTTTAAATATACAAATAGAAAAATGTGTGTATATACGTTTTGTTTGTTTAATCGATCAGGAACTTGAAATTTTTCAGTAAAAAGCAACTTTGGGATTGGGCTTTGTACTTAAAATATAACTAATTTGCTACCCTTTGTTTCACATCTACAGGATGCTATTTGAAGTCTTTTTTCGTTGTCCATGTAGCTACTTTTCTGAATATTTCAACATATTTGGAAAGTAGGTTAAATCACCCCAAGCACACAGGGATAAATTACTTGACATATGGATGGTAATACTTTAAGAGAAAAAAGCATGATTTCTCATGTTACTCTCTCTCACTCGTTTAGTATTCTCCGAGAGATGCATAAAAATAGGGACCTGGGTGGAATCATCCCTGCCTAAACCTTAATAAAAATAAATTATTCCAATAAAATAGATTATCGATTACAATTGAGAATAATGGACTATACTGCGAAATTAGAATGCAATCTTCTCAGCTCTACAACGCATACTATTTGATAGCTTCTTGAAAATAACGGCGCTATAAAAAACTTTTCAATCAAAAGGGTAAATAGAGGATTTGGGTTTGGAAATTTTAATCAATTTTTATATTCTATTAAAATTGAACGAATTTCTAGCAGGGATGCCTGTATTTTTTAAAATATTGAGATTTCAAATGCTTTGGCAAATTATAGATGCGGTCGAAGCGATTGTTATTGAACCGTTTACAAATATATCACTTCACCTTACTAAAGTTAGAGATGGTTTATGCAGGTTTTAAGTGGAAATAAATTAGGATTCATCAACCAGAAAGTATAAAATTAAAAACGACTGGATAGCACTAAATCAACTGATAATATGTTCAGAATATCGAAAAGACAAAGTGGATAAAACTTATTCCTCAATAAAGTGAATAATGAACAATTATTATTTTTTAGAGCTAAAGTCAAACTAGTTCAAGAAGAATGGACTCAATAAATTCTCTCAACATTTATTAATACACAGAGAGTATCAACCGAAGAGGCAATTTACTGCTACGGAGAGCCACCAGCAAAAATTATAAAAATCAATTAGAACGAAATAATTTTAATTAAATTTGGATTTTCTCAGGGAGGGTTGTTATTTTACACCTAACTATTACCAACTAATAATGCGTGAAAATCAAAAATAAATTATAGCTGGGTTACAACTTGTAGAAAAATTGAGATTGAAAGAAATTGGTTTTCTGTTTTATTTGACGATATTAGTAGCGTAGAATTTTTAAAAGGCGGGAAACAGCACTTTAGAGTGTGATGAGATAATCTAGAAAGTTAGTATTTAAATTAGGTAATGATAACTCTTTCATGCGCAGGATATTATATATAAGAAGTAGTCAGAATAAAACACAAAAATGACAAGGAGAACGTTTCTGTTAGTATCAGGTATGATGACTTCTGGAAGCAGGGAAATGAGGAAGAAGAAACAGTGATTTCACATTTTCCAATCGCAAAACCTGATCACCTACATGAAACAGATTGGCATAATGAAAAAAGTAGAAATCCAAATCTTTTCTTATGTAAGTATTTTAGGAAAAGGTCAAATTTCTGCTAAAAATTGGTAAATTTTGTTGATTGCACAAATTATATTTTTTTCACTCTTATAGACAATATCGTTAACGTAACCCATATCGAAAAGAAACAGTTGTTAAAATCTAGCAAAAGATTCATAAAAATTAAAAGGCAAAATATCTACAGAATAACTTTGAAATACCTGAAAATCTACATAGAATGACATAAAAATACAGTCATGCAGAAGAAGTCGACACTTGTGGTGAGGTATAAAAATGCTTCCTTCTCTAGTTTGTACGGGATTCATACACGAATTAGCCTCGACTTTCCCTAGGAATACAGAAAGCAGGCATATGGCGGGTATAGCATTTGTTGAAGTTCTGTCGACAGTAACATTGTCAGGAATCGAATATATTTAATGCAACTTGATTGAGCCATAATAGCTGATAGGCTGAGAAGTCCCCTGTTGTGCAACCGCACCCTCCAGAATGTTTGGGTGCGTAGTGTAATCGTGTTAGGCATTTGTACTTCACAGGTTTTTCCACGTATTTAGTAAAAACTAAATGTTTCCAAGCGCCTTTAATTTAAAATCATTTGATAGTTTACATACACTAATAAGGGTTTTAGAAATATAAAAATGCTTTCTCTTTCCTTTTACCCCCTTTAAGTTTCTGTATAAAAATTTAGAGTCGCTTATGAAATAAGTAAAGTCAACCAAGCTGCCAAGCTCCGATAATTTGGCAAGTTTGATTACTTTGGATATTATTTAGTGTGACATTCTTTCAAGTTCCAGTGGGTAGTTGCTGGCTTAGTAGACTTTAGAATAAGAGTAATGGGAGCATTCGCTTGTTTCCTTGGTTTCCCAAAGAGAGTCTCCAAGCCAGCTTTTAGCACGCTGTGCCTCTACACGACCATGATCCTAATGTGAAAAGATTGCAATAGAATACTGGCTCCACGAAGGCTCCGATTGGCCATGCTTTTTACTTTGCCTGGCAACTGCAGACACTTTTGAAGGGATTCGGACTCATACAAGTTGCTGTTCGCATCAACAAATGGAAGGTAGAAGTGAAAAACAAATATTTTTAGACCTTAACTTACCTATTCTTGCATCAAAAGGTGTTGGCAAGGGGGTTTCAGTTGAACCATATGCTAAATAGCTTCCCCTAAGGATCGACTATCGAATGTTTCACTCAAATCTCCAGATTGAACATAGCACCCTGGAAGCCAAATATTACTTGAACGGTTGACAGCCTTTTGGGATGATCTTTATCACAACCAGCCAGCCTCCCCGATGTTGATTTCAATCCGTTTTCAACTGCTAAGATTTGGTTTGTACAGGAGAAATAATTCTCCACCTGAAGTATCCATCTCGCCAACCCTCTATTACAGGATCTTAGAGCCAATAAGCTAAAGTACACCTGGGGGGGGGGGAGGGAAGATAAACTTCAAAGGCCATTTATTGATACTACATTTATTGCAGACAATTAATGATAGAGAAAATTTAACGCAAAACGCCACATGGGTCATGCAGACGGATAAAAGAGGCAAATACACCAAAAATGATTACACAATTAAAACAACACAATCCGGAAAAAACTGGAAGCAAATGCAACTGGAGGAGGAGAGAATATCCAATCCCCACCACTCCTCCCTCATTTTCTTTACTGAGCAGGTGGTGTTTGTACAGAAGATGCAGCAGGTTGTAGTTGTGGTGAATTTGACGAAGGCCTATTCTGCATCATTACGGAAGGATCTGAAGAGGGAGCAGGTGAGGGAACCGCTCCCCCAGTGTTACTACCTTGTCCTCCAGGTGGTTGAATTGGTTGGGGTTGGGACTGCTGTTGTGGTGGAACTGTCTGAGACACTGGAGGAATCGGCTGTGCCGACTGCCTCTGTGTCTGTTGTGAATAGCTACTAGGAGGGTATTGATGTTGCGAAGACCAATGCTGTGAGAGCTGTTGTGGTTGCATATAAGGCTGTTGGTGACCATAAGGACCTCCACCTGGCGGTTGCTGCTGTTGAGCCTGTGGTTGAGGGGGTCCGTTATAGTAAACTCCTCCTTGAGACGGTGGCATACCATAACCGGTAGCTGGGGCTCCACCGTAACCTTAAACAAGAAAAAGTTCATTACAAGTAATTACGGTTCAACTCAAGAACACTAAACGCACCTTGATGATAGTATCCAGGAGCACTCTGCTGAGGACCTTGCCCTTGTGTAGGCGGCATCATACCTCCCATCTGTTGCTGTTGTTGTTGTGGATCAACAGGGTAATGACCAGTCTGTGGAACACCCTGCTGACCCATTTCCGACTGTCCTTGGCTTTGCCAATACCCACCGTGTTGAGGTGGATGATGCATCACAGAACCGGTACCGCCTTGTTGTTGATAAGGCGGTGGTGCAGGAGCCTCTGAATATGGAGGTCTTTGATATCCTCCAGAGTGAGGTGACGGCTGGGGATATCTCTGAGATGCCATCGCACCACCACCTGGGTAACCCTGTTGTTGCGGTGGATATCCACCTGGTCCACCGCCTTGATGCTGTTGCCACGAAGAAGGATACATTTGTTGCTGTTGTTGTTGATTGACAACGGGCTGAGAAGTTGGATAACTTGGTGGTGGGGGTGCAGTTTGTTGAGGATAGCCCCCTTGAGGTGGATACTGTGATCTCGCAGCCTGAGAATAGTAGCTTGGAGGATATCGATTTTGCTGTTGTTGATGGTACTGCTGATATTCAGGAGGTGGGGGAGGTTGGGGATTAGATGACATGGGGTAATTCGGAGGAGGTGGCTGTGGCTGGCTCATACCTTGAACTGGTGCTCCTCCTTGACCTTGAGCTACCATTTGAGGTGCCGGTGGTACTTGGACAGTTGGTTGATGCTGTTGTTGTTGAGATGACTCATGTATAGCTTTCTCTTCAACTTGCTCTACCGTAGTTGCTTCCGAAGCAGCAGCAGGCTGAACTTCTTTCTTCACTTCTTCAACCAAAGCACTATTGTTTCTCTCTGACTCAACAACTGGATTTGCCGTGTTTTCAGGAGGTTGTGCCGTCGTTGGTTGTTGCTGTTGAGTAGGTCCCGAAAACGACTGCAAAAACGGGATTGAGATGTAAAAGATGTTGAAGCACTATTGCAACCGATAAATTTAATCCAAAAGCAACCGTTTAAATTAGACGTTTAAAACCTAGAACAAACCTTTATAAGCCAATTGAGAAATATTTTATTTCAAAGGGTAAAAATAGAAAGAAGCTTTCTCAACTTTCAACCAATTTATCGACTGTGCTAGGCACAATAAATAAGAAAAGAACAAGCAAAATTAATAGAGAGCAACAAATTCTTCTCGGACGGAGAGTCTGTCTTATGAGACAACGATACACACTCCTCTCTCCCAGTCACACACATGTTTTGCGCTGACGTCGCCACTTATGACCTTGACTAATTGCAGTGATTGCTGCACACGCAAACTATTAAGAATAAAAACGATGGGTACTACAAAGAGAAGGAACCAGTTTCCCAACATCCATGAAAGCAAACCATGCTTAGAGCCCCTAAGAAGAGAAGGTAGCATTTGAAACAAAGTGCGTTTCATTAGATGGAGTAAGTGCATACCAATCAAATAACGTCTATAACCGCATGTCTTAAGGACACATAGGTAACTTAACGATACTTACATTAGATGGAGAAGATTGCATCTGTTGCTGCTGTTGTTGAATCACTTGAGCTTTGCGTTTTCTTTCGGTTTCTGCTAATTCCGCTTCATGTTGTTCAGCTTTACGCTTTCGAGCCTCGTTTTCAGCTGCCTGTAGTTCTCTTTTCTTCTGTTCCTCTTTCTCCATGTCCTGTTTTGCCTTGATAATCATTTCAGCAAACTGAGAATCCGAAATTCTCGGAGTTTGTATCATCAATTTTCTATATTCATTATAAAATACTGCTGACTCATCCTGAATTCTACGCATCTTCGCTTGATGACGAAGTTCGCAATTCTCTATCTCTTTGCAGAGGTTCATTTTGTGGGTCTTAAGCTGTTTGACCTGTGTTTGAAGAGTTCGAATGCGATGTTCGTTTATTAATTGTCCAGGATCGGGCAACTTTGAATCACCGAGGATTTCGAGCATTAGACGATGGTTACGCTGATAACGAGCAGCTGCTACGTGCTTAATAGTAAATTGCTCATCCGGATCTTCTTCATTATCTTCCAGTATGTAAGATTCTCGCATATCAACCGCCGGTTCATGCTTCTCACGAGATCTAGCTGCATTCCTTCTTTCTTCCTCTTCAATAACTTTCTCAGCTAAAATTAATAGAACAGCATTACGTACTGAGAATCTCTCGAAATACGTACTTCATATAGTCTATCAACAAACCTCTTTCTTTAGCAACCATCCAGGCTTGATAAGCCGGCGAGCTATGATACTGCCTCAAGGTTTCGCTATATCTCTGTTTTTCAGCTTCATATTCCTCTATGTAAATGTTCTTCTCTTCATCGGGTAGTTCACGCCACATTTGCCCAATTATTCTTCCGACTTCCCATAATTTCAATTGTGGATTTTCATTTTTTACTCTTTCCCATACCTAAGAACTAAAACATGAAAAGCTAGTCTACCTTTCTGCTATAACGCATGTAAGGCATTAAGGGCTTTTCCGGTGCCTTCGGAGGTTTAGGAATACGAGCATCAGCCTAAAATTAAATATATAAACCCAAACTTTACTCTTGACAAAGTTTTTCCTTGCTGGACAATTCCTGCATGCATTTCGGGCTAGTTTGACTCAAGGGAATCGGACAGAAGAGCTTATAATGGCGCCTAGACGCTAAATTGGCGGGCTGAAATGACCCAAAACAATCCACAGATAAATAACAGCTCATATTTACCTTTTTAATCTAAGATTATTGTAAATTAAAAATTAATCAATTCTTTTCTTTTTATTTTTTTATTAGTTAGTTTACGCACGGCCTTCAAAAGTGGTCACACTTTTAATGTTTAATCATTTTATTTTGTGCATTTCAAGGTTGCAGAGAGCTAGTTCGGTTAGATAAACCTATGTCGGGTATGGTATTTTTTAAATATATATTAAATGTTATTTTTCTTACATTTATTGCTTTTTGTATTTAATTACCTGTTTCTTCTTCCATCGAATTTAATGTTTTCATAACTCCTTACTATTATGGTATTCTTCAGTCTTTTTAGAATGAACAATGAACAAAGACAGCGACTTCGCCGAATGCAAGTTGATTTTGTGAAAAATCTTCATGATGTTGAAGATATTGTGGATTATTTACTATCACTGGAAGTTCTCTCACGGACACAATCTGAACAAATTTTATTATCCGGTCCTACGATTCCCGATAAAGTTCGCTCTCTCTTAAATACCCTCGTTAGGTGCGGTCCCAATGCCTATGATGCTTTTATTGATGCACTAGTGAAAACAAGCCAAAGTTTCCTTGTGGATAAAATGAAGGGTCTTGTTGTTGATTCATCCTCCTTTAATACTTATTCTTCATCCAGCCATATGCGCAACCCACAGCAAAAGCCGATAGAGTCTGCAGCTAACCAATATCTTACTGCCTATCCTGTCAATTCAACTCCTCGTGGTTATATTCTTTTAGTGAATATCGCGAATTTTGAACCGGGGTGTGGTCTTAGTAACCGTCTTGGTTCCTCTGAAGATGTTGCAGATTTGAAATCCATGTTAACCGATCTAGGATATTCTGTCCAGGTTTTACTTAATTTAAGTTTTATGGAGTTGGAAGCTGCTCTAAGTTCTTTCGTAAAGAACCCGGTTCACTATTCTGTTGATGCTGGAGGTCTAATTGTCATGTCTCATGGAGTTCAGGATTATATCTACACGTCGGATGGGAAACTGTTCAGTATAAACGACATTCTTGAAGCATTTACGAATAAGTCTTTCCCTGCTATGGCAGGCAAACCCAAACTTATCCTCTTCCAAGCCTGTAGAGGGGACGAAAAGGATCGGGGATATTTATTTGAACCCGATACTGCGGCCTTGAATAATCAGTCTTCACATCTTGAGAATGTAGATAGTACACTAGTGGTCAATAAAACCAACTGGAAATGTCTTCCTTCAATGAGCGACTATATTATCGCATACTCGACTCTTCCTGGTTTTGTATCATGGAGATCTGAAACGAAGGGTAGTTGGTTCATCCAGATTCTTGTGGAAGTATTTCGAAAGTTCGCTTCTTCTCTTCATGTCCTTGATCTCCTGACTGAAGTTAATCGACGTCTGGTTGAGGAGTCTCAAGATAGGGAGTTCAAGCAAATTACTCAACAACAGCATACTCTTACTCGGCCATTTTATTTATCAACTGCAAATCTTAAACTTTGAGTTATGCTATTTTCTAATTGTGATTTACCAATTGGTCTTAGTGTAAATTAATTATATGAAATGTGAAATTGAAATTCGTCTTTGCTTTCACCTTCATATTGATAATCGAGTTGTTAAAATTATACCAAACTTCTTTAGGGCTCTAAGAATCTATGCAATAAAAAGATGAAAGCTTTTGTTGAATGCAATCATATTATAATTATATATTGCATTGTTATTTCTTAATTAATTAATTTATTTCAAATAGCAGGCGTTTTGATAGTTACCGTTAGCCTTTAGCTGACTTCGGGCGTCACAGAGAGGAGGAACATCAAAGTGTGGCAAATTCGAGAGGGGGAACAGAAGAGTGATTCATGGATGTAAAAGAGACAGACAGACACAAAGGTGGAGAAAAAGTAAGATGAGTATTGTGGAAGTTGTCAAATATGACATACAGTCGAGTCATGGTAGTTTAAAGTAAGAAGTCAACTGACGGTTAATAGACTTTTTGCCGTATAAGTATACGTTGCCCAGGGTCCACCACGTGGAGGTAAGTCTATCGCGCACCCCTTATTTCTTAATAGAATACTCGAACGCGTCAGTGAATGCATGCATTGACTAGGAACAGGCTAGATGTGGTTTCTAAGTTCAGCTGTTCTTGCGGGCAAATTGGACACACTTGACAACAGAGGAGTTAATAGGACTCGCCATGTTTTAAACCCTGCTTTCTCATATAGTTCCTTATTAAAACTCCGAATTCAACGAATTTGATAGTTCTGCAATTCTTCAATGGACTTCAGTGGTTCTAACGTTAATTCCCTTTCTTTTAAGTTATATTTTATTCATTAAATGGGATCTAAGATCGGTAGTAAAATAGGTACCATGCCCGTATCGCAAACGGTTCCTTTTGTTGTATCATCGCTGGGTGGATAAACGGGAAATACTTTGAACTGAGGGGTGTCCGTCATACTCAGGTGGTTGAATCTCAACAAGATTGTAAACTTATAGCAACAAATTTGTGTCGAAAGACTGCGCCTTGGTTCGTGGTCATAATTTTTTTACAAATGAAAGATTTCAATGGAATTCGCAAATTTCGAATGGCTATGAACAACTGTCAAGTTCGTTCAGATGACACCATTGGCACCGAGACGGTATAGCTTTTATTTATCTGTTTAAGCCCTGGCCTTACATAACGCATTTAATATTAGTTGGAATTTTGATTTCTGAACCTTCCCCGGTTTTACCAGGCGATATCTTTTTTCTAATAAACCGGCAGACGAAACTAATAGCCTCAGTTATTGGCTTGTCTCTTGGAAAGCATATGGTCTGCAAAGCGTCCACCAACTTTGCCGATATGGCATCTTTCATCCCTTTATTCAATTAATTGTCTTGGTTTAACTGCGTTCCAATCCTACCTTCTCTCGAAGTCTGAGCCAACTTTATACCACATATGCCTACTGGCTCGATTCACCATAGAAACAGAAGCTAGACTTTCTAACGATATGAGACTATACCCATAGAAGAGCATGACTTTACGAACCTTAGGAAATCTCAATTAGAAGGCCATTTGAGCAAATATTTAACTGACCATTTAGAGAATGACCCATAAGGTGACATGAAATCAACAAACTGGTATACCCAATTAGACAATTTTTAGCTATTTTCACTTCTCGTACACCTAATAGACGGGTGCTTGAGAATAAATTTTCACCCATGCGAGTGCGAATACTATTCTTGATATGTTATTTTTGACCAAACTGTGTAGGTTTCTCAACGTTGTCTTAGCGAAAACTTCGAACACGACTTCATAACAAGTTTCAAAGCGTTAGATACGCCTTTCTCTTAACCCACTAAAAAAATCCAATTCGGAATAAAACGTGTGGCAGTATTAAAGGAATACAAAATTTTATACTTCACAAAATGATAGTAACATTTGTACAGAAATCCAGAGGACAAGTCTTTCTCTCTTCTTCTACTCTGCCATAGCCATAAGTTCCGAAAACGACACAGGGCGCCATGTAGAGTCATAGGAGTTGAAACAATACGCCACATTTCGATCGAAGTACACCTGTTGACTCTCTAGTCGATAAACCTGCTTCCCTTCGAGGAATCGATTTGCAATTGGGTGGAAAAGAAATCCTCGTCTTGCAGCAGTCTGTTCCACTTGCTCCCTAAGACTAGTCGGTGGCATAGGCGGAAGAGTTGGGGGAGGAATGAAAGAGGGTCTCTGATTGTTGAAGCCTCCCATTCTTCCATAGGGTTGTAAAGGTTCTATAGGGGCACCTCTCATAGCCCGCTCCATAAGACTAAGCGCCTGAGTGAACGCATCCTTTACACTGGGATAGTCGGCCAATGCAGTCGGAATTTGACTCTTCCAGCCTGAATACCAGGTACCGATTTCACTGAATATCTGTCCAGCATTTGGAAGACGTCGATTTCGAGCATCCGCGGCTTGGGCAAGCCAATCGGATAAGCAGTGAATCCAGCGGGGAAGGAAGAAACGTTCAAGCAAGTCAACAATTACTGCTGGATCGATAATGTCTAACCAACGCATTATCCAATTCCAGGGTTCCATTTTTTGATCTGCAGGGTTAATCTGAAGGAAAAAATGAAAGTCAATCGGTATTTTCATAGAGAATAAAGAAGAAAACGAAATTTAAACAATAGACAATATTTGATAGGTATGATAATTATTAAGCACGGAAAAGCCTATAAATGTTTAATCATAGGAGAAAGGAAGAAAAGAAAAAACCGAAAGCTGGTGTTTTACTGAGAGATAATTAATTCGCATTGTCTAACTCAAGCCTTCTATGGGAAGAAAAACGTGTCTCTTCGATATGCTATCCTCTACTATTTGGGGCGTACGATAGACTTACCTCCACGTGGTGCACCCTGGGTAACGTATACTCATGCGGCAAAAAAGTCTATAAACCGGCAGTTGACTTCTGAGTTAAAGCTATCATGACATATTCGACCACTTCCACAGTACACACCACACCTTTCATCTGCCTTTGTGTCTGTCTCTTTTACATCTTTAAAACACTCTTCGATATTGTTCACTTTGATGTTCCTTCTCCCCCCTGTGAAGTTCGAAGTCAGCTAAAGGGCTAATGATAACTATGATAACCATTTGATATAAATAAATAAATAAATCTTCTACTATGTGCCCCATGGAGCCCCAAACGCCTTGTCTTTCCTGATACTCATTTCAAGTAGGTTTGAAATTAAAATCACCTTCTGTATCACTTTTATAAGACTCTGAAGTGAACTAACCTGGAAGTTTTGCATAACATGAGCCAGCTTCGGTACAACATTACGATTGAGAAATGCGGTCATCTGAGCCATTGGGATGACATTTCGCCAGGGGAGGAGAACGGAACTCGCGGAGGCGTCTGAAGGATGCCAGTTGGTGAGACAGGCGGCCAATTTGTGCAGTACCAATTCGTGGGTTGGAGCGAGACGGGAGGC